ACATGAAGCTCTCGTCGAAGAATACGGTGAAGTTTGCAAATGACAACACTCTAGCAACTGAAGGTGTTGGTGATGTTCTGATTATGAGGAAAGATGGCAAAAGGTCAACAATTTCCAATGTGTTGTACATACCAGGCATGAAGAGTAATTTGCTCAGTATAGGGCAGCTTGTCGAAAAGAACTACAAGGTAGTTGTCGAAGACAAGATGATGAGAGTTCTCGACGCAGGTGGTAGATTAATCTTGAAGGCTCCAATGTCTCAGAATAGGACCTTCAAGATTGGACTCAATGTGATGGAGCATAAGTGTCTAGCAACTGCAGCCAGCAGAGATGAGTGGTTATGGCATTTTCGACTAGGTCATCTCAACTTTAATGACATCAGAGAACTGAAGAAAATAAATATGGTTTCAGGATTACCAGAAATCGGCATTCCAAGTGAAGTCTATGAGGAGTGTGTTCAGTCGAAACAACACAAGAATAGCTTAAGCAAGGATGCAGGAAGGAAGTCGAAGGCAATACTTGAAGTCATATACTCTGATGTATGTGGTCCAACCCAGGTGGATTCCATTGGTGGCAATAGATACTTTGTCACGTTTATAGATGATTACAGTCGAAAGTTGTGGACTTACCTCATCAAGAAGAAAAGTGATGTGATTGAGGTATTTTCCAGATTCAAGTCCATGGTTGAAAGACAGAGTGGTCGAAAGCTGAAAATTCTGAGGACTGATGGTGGTGGAGAGTATGTGTCGAAAGAGTTCGATACACTATGTGTAAAAGAAGGGATTGTACATGAGGTGGTGCCACCCTACACTCCACAGAAAAATGGGATTGCAGAACGCAAGAACAGAACCATCATGAATATGGTGAGAAGTATGTTGAATGGAAAGCATCTACCCAAAGAATTATGGGGAGAAGAAGTTTCGACATCAACATATATATTGAACAGATGTCTGACGAAGAAGCTTGAAGGAATCACACCAGAAGAATGTTGGTCTGGTGTCAAGCCTAGTCTCAGTCACTTAAAGGTGTTTAGATCTATAGCACATAGACATGTGTCAGATCAGTTGAGAAGGAAGCTTGATGATAAGTCGAATCAGATGATCTTGATAAAATATCATTCGACAGGAGGTTACAAGTTGTTCGACCCAGTGAATAAGCAAGTAGTGATTAGCAGGGACGTGATCATAGATGAGCTTAAAGAATGGGATTGGACCGAGAATGCCGAGAAGGATTCAGTGAGAATATCTTGTGAAGAACCAGCCACTGAAGTCGAAATAGAAGTTCGACAGGAACCAGTTGCAGATGAAGCAGGTTCAAGCAGACCTCGACGAACAAGACACATGCCTGCAAGGTTGCAAGAATGTGTAATCACATCAGATGATGTAGTCGATGAAGAGGGTGAGCTGGTACATTATGCTTTCTACGCAGATGTCGAACCAGTCAATGCAGCTGAGGCATTGAAAGATTCGAAGTGGATGAAAGCAATGATTGAAGAGTTAGAGTCCATCGAAGTCAATGATACCTGGTCACTTGTCGAATTGCCGCAAGGCAAGAAGGCAATTGATGTGAGGTGGGTTTACAAGGTGAAGGTAAATCCTAAAGGAGAAGTAACTCGACACAAAGCGAGACTTGTGGCGAAAGGATTTCTTCAGAAGGAAGGAATCGACTTCGATAAAGTATTTGCACCTGTTGCTAGAATCGAAACAATCAGGTTGGTTGTTGGTCTAGCAAATATGAACAACTGGCACACATGTCAGATGGACGTGAAGTGGGCCATGATGAATGTAGACAGTTTAGACACAATGAATTAGGTGGTGTGTTAAATATAATTCATTGTGATTTGATATGATTAGATTTGATATCATATGATTAGATTTGATATCATATGATTAATTTGATATGATATGATTAGATATCATATGATTAGATTTGATATCATATGATTAGATTTGATATCATATGATTAGATTTGATTTAGAATATTTTGGGCCTTTTATGGTTTGGCCTAGTGTAAGCCTAAAACTATAAATAGGGTGCCTTGCTTTGTATTCTACATCACAACAGAACAGATTTCACAGTTGCAGTTAGCAAGTGAAAGTTCAATAAGAAATCCCACAGTTGTGGGTAACACATTCTCTCCAAATACTTCTTCTCTCATTCTTCTCTTTCTTGTTTGTTATTCTTCTTCTCTTTTGTTGTTTTTGATAATTACTTGTTATTACCATCATTATCATATTGTGGGTTTGTTCATCAATCTTGAGATCAAGATTGAAGGGAATTCTTCATAGGGTGTGAGGTGAATTTCCAACATCCGAATGGCGAAAAAGGGTGGTGAATTGGTCGTATGGGTTTTGGAATGGATTTCTGCGGCGGTCGGTTAAAGGAGAAGAAGGTGAATAGAAGGAGGAAGTGAAAAACGAAAAGGTTTGTGAGAGGAAGAAGAAGGGCGGTGTGCAGTGCTAGGTCGTTCAGGGGAATATCAACAGTGTTGGGGCTGCTCTCTAGCGTTTTTCGCGGAAGGGGATGTACAGTAGAAGGGGCAATGGAAGCTGCTAGGTTTTTGGGGTTTGGAATCAAGAAAAAAATGAATAGTAACAGGCCTTTTATATGTTGGACACGTGTTGTCTTGCTGTTGTTGTTTTTTGTCTTTTTTTATTAATCTTTGCTTAATGTTAAAAATCTGTACTATTAACTTAATAAAATCTAACTAACCTCTAATTCGAATTACTAAAATTGAACTACTCCTAATTTAATGCTAATCTAAATCTAATTAGTTAATCTAAACTAATTAAAATTCTATTGAAAAAACTAGTTCTATTCTAAAATCTATTTAAAATTCTAAAACTATTTTCTAATTCTTATTAAAGTTCTAACTTAAACTCTAAATCCTATTTTAATCTAATTAAACTAAATTAATTCTAATTTCTTAATCAAAACTCTATTCTAATTTTAATTTAATAAAAATCTACTCTAATATTAAAATCTAATTAAACTTCTATGCTAATTAAATAATAAATAACTATTCTAATCCTAAATTCTTAATAAAAAGTCTATTTCTAAAAATCTAAAGAAAATCTAAATTCTAATATTCTAAATAAAAACTTAATATTATATTATATTAACAAAATATAAAAATGAAATATAAAGTAAAAATAAAAATAAACAAATCACAAAATGCCATGAAATAAAAACGGAAAAAAGGGTCGAACACTGAAACGCAACCAGAATTATCAGCATGGACTGAACCACCAGAAAGAGCGCGACCTCTGTTCGATTTCGACATAGAACTCGTCATTTGAACTGGTTTAAATTGTCTAAAACGCGAACAAAACGGTTGTAATCCCGATAAACCCATTCCAGTTGACAACATGGACAGTATGCGAGAAATGATCAACCTAAACGATATGCAGATGAATGCGAAGCAAAAGTCAGTCGATGTTAGAAAACGCGAGGGCAAATTTTGGGGTGCAACAACAGCGCTTTAAAGAAAGCACTTTCTAAAGCCATGTTATAGTAGAGCTTTTTTTGTTTGTTTTTTTTTAATCTTTAGCAACGCTTTTATAGAAAGTGTTGTCTTTGTTGTGCTGCCAAAAATCATTTTTGGCGTAGTGCATGTAAGAATGTGACACTCTATTAAATCATTGGATGTATTCATATACCATACTCCTATATGAATAGATAGAACACGATATACATCCTTTAGGACCAGGTGATAAAAGCCCAATGTAAACATCTCATCGACATTCTTGCAGAGGATAATGGTTGGAGAAACAACGGTAGGTTATCTAAGTATACCATGGATATACCCAAACTGCCAGAAGACTCGCTCGAGTAGATATGGGTATATAAGTAGAGACCCGTATATGATAGTGACACACCGCAAACGTACAAAAATATATAAGTAGAAAAAATGATCATCATCCACAAAGACTAAGTTTTGAATTACTGAATTATATCGTTTCATTGTGAGAAAAAATAAATAAAATTTTGTTTTTCTTAAAAATTAAAAAGAAGAGTCTAAGACTTTGACTCTTGTCATCAACTTTACTCCTATAACCTTTATACCAATCGTAACGAGAATTTCTATTTTTGTAGAAAATGCTAAAATTAGTAGTAATGTACACTTTCACCTACACGTTTCCGGATTCTAAACCCATATTTTACATGTTTTCACACTTATGTCTATTTATATTCCCTTTTAAAAGAAAAGTATTTTATCATTTGATTATGAGATTCTTTCACAATCTCATAATCAAATTTCTGGATTCCTAAACCAAACATTGTTTATACATTTTCAATGCATAAATGATGTCTAGTGTTCCTACTTTCGTAGCAAATATTTTACTTTATAAACAAAAATATCATAACATTATAAGAATTCTTTTAACTATCAATAATTAGAAGATTTTCACAAGGTTTGTCGGTATGACAATCCTCATGTCTCTGACCCTAGAGCGTTCTACTCATACATGTTTAACAGTACAGCAGTACAAGCATGATATGATTCATACATGTTATAATAACGATAAATTAAAGAGATGGTAAATCCTGAAATCGCATAAAATACAATTAAATAAACTTGCTCTATTGACTCTTGAAAATGCAACAGTGCTTAAATAAAAATACAGAAAACTATAACAATGTAAAAGTTGAAATTTCTAAAGTATGATTTGTTTCTCTCAATATTCCTAGGTTATTTATAGGCCTTATTACATGAATATAATACTAATTTCTTGTAATTGGCCTTCATTGGTCTTCTGCAACAGATGAAAACAACTAGAACCTGAAGAGGTGTGAGAAAGCGCATTGAAAGCTTGGAATCCAAGGTTGGAACTGGGCTTATTATGACTTGTAATTCCTATTATGGGCTGGTCGTAATGGCCCCTAATTTGATGTATCAGATCCAGAAAAAAAAGATGGGTATGAACCCATTACGATCTGTAATGCTGGCTACGACCTGGCTGTAATGGGGCCTGGTTTTGTGTATTGGGAGCTCCTCTTTATGCATTGCGTGATTGGACCTGATTTGTATCCAACTTTCCTAATCCTGTCATCTTTCTTCTAGAACTCTTGAAACACAGAGAAACACAAAATTAAACGCACAAAAATATATATCCAACTACTAAAATTTAACATAAAACACTCTAAAAGTCATTGATCTTCTAGCCATATAGAGTACAAGGCTATCACCTCCAAAGATTGTGTGTCACGGTGGTCTCTGTATGAAATCCAGCAAATATCATCTGACACGATGATGTCAAAAGCAACTCGAAATGGCTCAGTCGCCTGGTTCCCTATGAGAAAATATCTTTTGTTGTTGTTAGGCATTTTCCTGCAATCAAACAATCCTAATAGAGATATGTCATAACTTGGAAACATAAACAAGCCAAACCAAAGAACAAAGCACAACAGAGAGATGTAATAATATGATATTAGATAACAAGTTATTCTAGATTTCAATCTCCAAACTAAGGTTCCGGATTTTATAACCTAGATTGCACTAAGACAGACATGCCAACAAGAGAGCATAACACATGAACCCTAAGCCCTATTTCTAAACAAATCAATGAAAGGAAAATGTGAAGGATCAAAGTAAACCTGGATAAATGTGAAGCGGTGATTCAGATGAGCTCGCCTACTTCAAAGAAGGAGATTTAGAGGCTAAATGTTGATTGTGAAGAAGAATTTAGATCTTTGAAGAAAACCTTGGCAACACCTCTGGTGCTTACACGCCCAACTCCGGGGGGATTTTGTATATATAACTAGATGTTGCCAAAGAAGATGTAAGTGTTTCTTTGATTAGAAAGTCCAATGCCCATAAAAGATTGGTGTAATTCATTTTCAAAGCAATAGCGGGGGAAGAAACTCAATACTAAAAAATTGAAAAGGAAACATTGGCATTAGTTATAGCATCCTACAAATTGTGATTGTACTTCCTCACACATTCCATTATTTCCTGGACATATCTACCCCTGAAAATTTAACGAAGTTGGCCTTTGAGTTATCTAAGTTTGAGGTGTCCTTTGAATCAAGGAAAGCTCTAAAGTCTTACTTATTTGTCGACTTCTAGATCCCCCATAGCCAGATCTTACATCGGTGGTCTTCACTAATTGATCGTCCAATAGCAAGGTAAGTGACGCAAGGGTGATATTAGAGAAATATTCTGGTTTATTAGTGTAAATGTCTTGAAGATTCCAATTCCTAGCCACCAATAAAAAAATTGAATATGAGGTTGTCATTACCGGGATCACACTAATAGAGAAATGGGAGAGGAATACGTTTTAAATGTGAACGAGTTCCCAATTGTTTGTTTCCTAGATAAAGGGAGAATCCAAAGCAACATACCCTTTCCTCCATAAGTACCTCAAATTGGTTGTGAGAAAGTTAGCAGAATTCGTTCGAGTCATTCAAAATTGACCATGTGCATCTGGAGGAAAACACCAGAGACGGTGTCCTATCTCAATTAGCCAGCACCAGAAACCACAGAATCAACCACTATTTCGTCCATGTGATTCTAAAACAACCCAACATAGAAACAAAAGAGAAGTCAGTAGCGGTAGTAAGCAACACGACTCCACCCTCTTGGATGACCCCAATTCAACAATACATCGAGTCCATGATACTTCCAACATATCCATCTGACACGATACTAGTAAAGAAAAGTTCAGTGGTGTTGCACCCCAAAATTTGACCAACAATTATTCATTCATTGAGTGTTTGAAAGTTGATACCTTCATCAGAAAGTTCAAGAGATCTCCAGAGAATTGGTTTGAAACCAGGGTTGTGTGCTTCACAGTTTGAGAGCTGTGAGTGCCCCTCAGATGATTCTGAGACTTTGAGAATGAACTTGATGTTTTGAGAAAGCTTATGAGATGCCTTGATAGCCTTCATGAAGCCCAGAGAAGTCATTGTGCAAGAATTCAGAAGATTCAACCATGAATGGTAGAATTAGGGTTTTGACTGGGTCAACCCTAGGATAACTGAAAATTTGGAGAAGGTTGAGACTCAATCCAAGAGCCATGAGATCATGGAATGATGCATAGAGATGTTATAAAGATGATTCCTAGACCAACTCATCATGATTGAGGAGTTTTGAGAAGTTTCAAGTTAGGGTTTCTGAGGATTGTCAGTGAAAAACCCTAATTTGATCCCTATCTTCCAGGCAGTTTTAGCACTAGATGTGTTTGATATCTCATTTTCCCCACAACATGAATGTTGTAGAGCTTGTTCTAAGCTTTAATTTGAGTGGTGGAAGTCCTTGATAGGAGTTACAGAGCTCAAGTTATGGTCTTGACAAATTACAGGTCAGCAGAGGTGTGTGAATCTGGGTCCTTGAAAGTCACCCAACTTGCAGACAACTTTTGCCCTAGTAGGAGGACTCCTATGGTTTCTTGGTCAACATGAATGTTGAAGAGGATCTTCTTAGCTTTAATTTGAGTGGTAGAAGTCCTTGATTGGATTTGTGGAACTCAACTTATGGTTTGAACAAGGCAGGGGTATTTTGGTCATTTGTCAGTTATAGGTCATTTTAGCCAATGCCTAAAACTCCTATTTCCAAGCCTCAAATGGAAAAACTTAAAACATGAAAGTTGCTCAAAATGTGATTTTAAGTCTAGAAAGAAGGTCACAAATTGTTGAAAAAGCTCATAGCACAAGATTCCATGATTGGTCAAAAATGAACTAAAAATGACTTATAACTTTGAAAAGTTGAAATTGAAAAGTGATTTGGGAGATCCACAAATCCAAAATAGGTCATCCAATATATCATTTTGATTGGAAAAAACATTTTAAGAACTTTGGTTTAAGTAGAATTTTCATTTGAGGCTTAAAAAATGAAGTTCCTTTGGAAATTTCTTACTTGAAAAAGAAGGTAGCATTGAAAAACCCTACACAAGCCAAAAATACACTTGTTTTTCACTCATCCTCATTCAATAACTCATGTAAGGAGAATTTGAGACCAAATTACAAGGCATGGCATATGAGATGTGAGAAATCCAACATGGCATATCATGGAACTTTCATGAACTTTCCACATCATTCTAGATGAATCTAGAAGCATCCAACAATTGTTATAAAAAGAATGCATCAAGGAGTGTTAAAGGTTGGTGAAACTTGGGCCAAGTCAGAGGAGAGAGAGAGAGAGATAGCCATTAAAGCTCTTGCTTCAAGTTGAAGCAACTCAAGAATTCTTCCATTACAAGTCTTCTTCTTCAAGAATTGTGCAAACAGAAGGCTATCCATCATCAAAAGATCATCCTGAAGGATTTGCAAGCCCTGGTTCGAGCCATAGCATCACTCACCATAGCTTCTTGACAGGTTGGTGAACTCATCTCTTTCTCTTTATTTATGATTAGATAGATCATATTATAGGTGTAGAATGATTGTGTTAGGGTAGAGGATTAATCCCTGAGAATTAGGGCAAGTTTGGTGAGGTTGCATAACAGAACCATGATTCTTGGATCTTCAATAACTGGCTGTTTGATGAGTTTTAATCAGCATGAATTAGTGTATAATGACCAGGGTAGCTTGTAGAGTATCTGTAAATCATTAGGTTGAAGTTTGGTGAAGGTTGGTATCAGTCGAGCATGGTGGTACCAAGATGTGTAAGCATTCTGTTTGGATTATCCACGAGGAATTAAGAGAAAGTGAACGTAGGGTTGTGTAGGGCTTGAGACGTAGATGATTTTTCGTGTTGGAGTCGTGTGGAGCCGTGGCCTGTGGAGGGAGATGGAGGAGCTGGAAGATGAGTGTGTGGGATTAGGGTTTCTGAAAACCCTAGGGCGTTTGGAGAAGACGAAAGGATAGCCATCAGATTAGTTTCAAAGATTGACTCATTCTCCCAATCCAACGGCTGTGATCGCGCCTGAGAAAGAGAGGGAAAGTTTGAATTATATGAAACGCGGTCGTTTCATTAAAGGGGCGTTCTGGGCCCAGAATTCTATCCCCACCCCCCTTATTTGCTGGCCCAACCAATATAACTGGCGCGCTTTACTATCTATACCCCCCCCCCCTCCCTTAATTCATTTAATTTCTTTTATTTTCTTTTTAATGTTTTCTGTTTTGAATAATTCATTAAAAAATGGTAAAAAATGATTTTTAAATTCTTTTTTTTCCTATGAGTAGATGAAAGTGTATAGAAAATTATAAAAATAAAATTGAGATTTTATTTTTAGGTTTAATATTTTTAGTAGATTTTCCATTTAAATAGCTTTTTAATTGTTTAATTTGGTATGTGATTTTGTAGGAATTGTTTTAGTACTTTCCTTTAATCTTTTTTACCCATTCTTTTTTGTGCAATTAGATGATGAGTCATACTTCCCCATAGGATTTTTTCTAGATTTTTTAGAATTAATCTTGATTAGTTTAATTAGGGTTGACTTAAGATAGTCTAATTAGGGTTTAGAATTGTACATAGGTGATGATTCCTTTCTTTGATTGAGTTTTATCTTGATTTTTAGGTAGAAACCTTTATAGATGTTATGAGTAGGTGTTGAGGACCCTTGTGAATAATTGTTAGATTTTTCCCCATTAGTTTAGCATTTTTAGGTATTTTCTGAAGTTGCCTGATGATTTGGCCTGTTCAGTGGGTTATCTGTTCATCTTTGGGGTTTATTCTGAGGAATTTGCTGAAGGGCTTGTGTTGCCTTGAAGACATTGATGGAGAGCATCATGGAGAGGAGCTTGTAGATCAAGATTCAGAGGCCCAGAGCTTGTCTTGTCCTCTGTTTGTGAGGTTTGAGATCCTGAAGTTTGAAGGAAGTTCATGGTACTTTCCTGAGGAAGGCACTATGAATGACTTTCATCCTTCCTTCTCACCTCTTTCTTAAGTATCCAATGATGTTGGAGCCAACTTGTGAGTTTAATTTCTCCTGAGGAGAAATGTAAACTGATCACATGTTGTTGAGCCACATGGGATACAACTCCTAAGTGGAAGCCTCCTAGTACTTTCCTGAGGAAGGTCCTATGAGTCTGTTCACTTAGTTCCACTAGTTGATCTAGGATTTCTCAAGTATCCAATGATGTAGGAGCTAACTTGTGAGTTTGATTTCTCCTGAGGAGGAATGTAAACTGATCACATGTTGTTGAGCCACATGGGATACAACTCCTAAGTGGAAGCCTCCTAGTACTTTCCTGAGGAAGGTCCTATGAGTCTATTCACTTAGCTCCACTAGTTCAGATAGGATTTTCTAAATATCCAGTGATGTTGGAGCCTGCTTGTGAGTTTAATTTCTCCTGAGGAGGGATGTAAACTGATCACAGTGGTTGAGCCACATAGGGTATGACTCCTGAGTATACACCTCTTAGTGCTTTCCTGAGGAAGACACTAT